CGGGTTTTGGGCTGTAGTTTTTCAGTTTGCTATCATATATACACATGTTTAAACACAAAAAACACCTCTTTTCTCCTGTGTTCCAAACCCTAGCAGTCCCTTTTCCCCTCTCTCAAACCCTAGTTCTTTTCTTTGGCGATTTTGAGAGATTTCGGAGGATTTTTTCAGCGGGTTTTGTGTAGTGCAGCGAAGGAGATTGGTTCTCTTTCACATGACAGGAGTTTTTCAGCATCTGAGGTGAGTAACATCTCACTCAACTCTGCACTCTTTTATTTTGCACGTTTTATTAAGTTTTATTTGGATTTTTCGAGCCTAAAACGTATTTTTAGTGTACAAAAGATAGATCTTTATAATTTATGAAGTGAGAATACATTATCATAATTTTCTAATTGATTACAACAGTAACCTTGACAAATTTCAGATCTGAAATTTATAAATCATAAATTAAATCACAAGTTTTTGCTTTTAAAACGTTTAAACATGTGTATATAAATGTTTAGGATTTCGACGATATATTTACATGCTAATATTTTGTTTCATGTTGTTTCATATATGTTGATATCAGTAATATTATGCTTGAAAAATAATGATGTCACTTCTAGATTTGTTTCGAAGAAGACAGAAACCTGTGAAGGATTTCTGACTGTTTCAGTTGATCGTCGGTATAGTTTGTGCATGTTTACTTTTGTTATGTGTTTTAATGTGAACGACGAGTCGCCTCGAATATTTGGCATTAAAAATTATTATTTATTATGTATCTTCATATGTGAGATGGCTTGCGGACATGAGTTTAGATTTGCACACCGAGACATGTATGAAATTAGTGTATATGCATCCTTTTCATATATCTCATCGATATTCTACACATTTTATTCTGTCCATGTGTTGGGCAATTATTATGTGCAGTCCATATATTGGACATTCATCATATTCAGTCAATGTGTTGGACATTTATTATATTCTGCCCATGTGTTGGACATTCATCATTCAGTCCATGTGTTGGACAATTTATATATACGGTCCATGTGTTGGGCATCCACTACACCTAGTCTTAGTCCATGTGTTGGACACCTGTTTAAACCTTGAATATGACACTTACACTTACATAGTCTGGACATGACACTTATGTGGGTTTTGACATGGCATGATATTTAAGTTCTGAGATGCGTTAGTCTTCTTTATATTATTGTTCCTGTATTAGATCTTGGGTTTGATATTTAGGGATTTACCATTTGAGATACAAGGTATATACATGAGGGTTTCCTTGTTTGGATTATTTCGCTCGACGTACCTATGCTCGTGTTGTAATTTCCTAAATACTAAAATCCTCTTATTGTTAGGATCAATGATTTTATGTATATATGTATTAACTGTATTTTCTATATGCAACGAGCCCTCTCCCTTGGGGTTGGTTGTGATGTTGCTCGCTAGCGCTTTGACGCTCGTTGTCCCCTCCCATTTCAGGTAATGAGCCAGGTGCACGGAGAGTCGTAGGTTGATGGCGATACTTATTAGCGTCCATCTTTCATTTGTAGTTTTATATTTATTTATGGAGCTTCACTGTAGACATTTTATTTAGACATTTGAGAGTTATGTTCTAGAAGTTATAAAAGTTATGTGACTTATTTCCTTTTATCAGATATTCTGTATTTGAGACTTTTTGAGATCTCCAGACTAGTTATTTCAGAGACTTTTATCAGATATTCTGTATTTGAGACTTTTTGAGATCTCCAGACTAGTTATTTCAGAGATTCACTTTATATTTTTGTATGTTGGATTATTTGAGACTTTTTGAGATCTCCAGACTAGTTATTTCAGAGATTCACTTTATATTTTTGTATGTTGGATAATGAAATATTATTTTTATCTCTATTATTTCATCATATATCTCTTGTATTATGTTTTACTTGCTTTTGTACCTACACCTGTTGTTGACTCTACTAGAGAGATAATAATTATGATGGTGAAACATGTTATTGCACGGTATGGTGCATGACAGGTTTGACATTCCTGGTTTCACCTTGGACTGTAGACTTGTGTGAACCTAGAGGCGTCACACTAGATATTGCCCATGCAGTGGGAGTTGTGAGCATGTTTGTAAGCAATCTAGGAAAGTAGCAATGGGAGGTCGTGAAGTGGATATTGTGTTACTTGAGAGGGACTACGGATATGCCATTGTGTTCAGGAAGAAAGAATTGGTATTGCGAGGATACGTGGATGCAGATTTTGCCGATGATCATGATACGAGGCGAAGTACCACGGGTATGTTTATACCTTAGCGTCGACAGCACTGAGCTAGTTCTCACGCTTGCAGAAGATAGTAACATTGTCCATGACCGAGGCAGAGTATGTCACAATGACTGAAGCCATCAAGGAGATAATTTGGTTGACCGGGTGCTTGGAAGATTTAGGTTTGAAGCAGGGAAACAACGTTTTTTATTGTGATAGCTAAAGTGCTATACACCTTGCCAAGAATCCAATATATCATGCCAGAACGAAGCGCATAGACGTACGTTACTACTTCCTATGCTCGCAGATTGTGGACGTCAAGTTACGATTGGAGAAGATTTTGGGGAGCTAAAATCCTGCGGATATGTTGACTAAATCAGTTACTATCGATAAACTGGAGTTGTGCGCAACTTCAGTTGGCTTTCACGCGTAGAAGATAAAGCCAGAGTCACACTAGGAGGATAGGCGGGATCGCCGGGTTGATGATGATTGAAGAATGGATTTTTTTCCGAGTAGGAGAAGATGCTTACGAAGAAGGTGGGAGTTTCGGGAGAGCTCATTGATGGTGGTTTCGTCTCCAAGTGGGAGATTGTTGGTTTTGGAAGTGTGAAGACCGAAACCTGAAGAAGAAATCATCAAAGAAACTGAAAAATCTAAGATCTCTAATCTCAAAGTGCCGTCAAAACCCTCCTTTTTCGTGTTCTCCAAACCCTAAAAACATATCAAGGTATATATAGTATCCCAGCCCAAAACAGATTCCCAAACCAATTAGGAAATTGTAAAATCCGACATTGGTCGACCGGTGCAATGGTGTCGGTCGACCGGCCAAAACATCTTTTCCTTACAGTCCGTCGACCGGGGTAATCTTGTCGGTCGACCAACCCGAAACTCTTGTAATGTTTTTTGACTTCGCGTTGGTCGATCGATGAGCTTGTGTCGGTCGACCGACCAGAGCGAACTTCCTGGGCTGTTTTCTACAGGCTGTTCGGTCGACCGGACCACGTGGTCCGGTCGACCGAAAAGTCTGTAGAAAACAGCCCAGGAAGTTCGCTCTGGTCGGTCGACCGACACAAGCTCATCGATCGACCAACGCGAAGTCAAAAAACATTACAAGAGTTTCGGGTTGGTCGACCGACAAGATTACCCCGGTCGACGGACTGTAAGGAAAAGATGTTTTGGCCGGTCGACCGACACCATTGCACCGGTCGACCAATGTCGGATTTTACAATTTCCTAATTGGTTTGGGAATCTGTTTTGGGCTGGGATACTATATATACCTTGATATGTTTTTAGGGTTTGGAGAACACGAAAAAGGAGGGTTTTGACGGCACTTTGAGATTAGAGATCTTAGAGAGAGAGAGAGAGGCTTATTGCGAGCATTGTAATCTTCTTCAATTAATTAAATTTTTTTGGTGTGGCTCTCGATGACATATGCACGTTTGCCGAACCTCGTTAAATCTGGTGTTTTCTGGTTTGATTATTCTTTCCTGTAAGTTTTTCTTTTATTTGCTGTGATTTCCTGCTTGCCTACTTTCGACACAAGATCCGGAAGGGCACGGATTGTGTGTTCAACCCCAACATTTGGAACGATCAACTGGATTTTTTGTGTATATTTCGGAACAAGTGAGACCCCTAAATTGGGTTCTTCCTGATTAGGAAGTGTTTGGTGAGAACAAAAGAAATGTTGTAGTGAAAAGAGGTACACGTCTTAAGTTTTAAAGATATAAATACAAATAAGTACTTGGAAGATATTGTAATCATTAATTGATACATAATCAAGCACTACTCTAATATTAGAGAATATAGTCACTCTAATATTAGAGAATATAGTCTAAAGAATCCCTAAGTTTTACTCTTCTTTTGTAGAATGTCCCTGACTTTCTATTTTTGACAATGACCCCCATAAGTTTTATCTCGCTCTTCTTAGAAGTCCTGAACTTTCTATTTTTGATGACGAAGCCTCTAAGTTAACAAGAATATTTGAGGGCTTCTTAGAAGAGAACATTAAAACTTAAGGAATTTGTAGAAGAAAAGGGTAAAACTTAGGGGGTTTATTGTAAAAAAAAGAATGTTAAGAGATTCATAGAAAAAGGGGCAATATTTAAGGGCTTCTTTGTCAAAAATAAGAACATAGGGCTCTTAGAAAAAAAGAGTAAAACTTAGGAACCCTTTAAACCATCTCCTTTCTAAAAAATCCACACAAAACTTTATGTAAAGTTATTCATTTATCCAAGGGTTTTATCACATGGAACCACCCTTTAGCTCAATTTCACGTTCGTACCTTTAATTAAGCTAGTTTCAAAATACCACCACATAATCATCTTCAATACTCATATCTGCTCAATTTCTCTATTAATATTAAGCATTTTCAATAAGTAATCATCCTTAAATTAGATCTCATTTCATATTAGCACTTACTCGAGTTTTAAAATATATTTAAAATATCACCCTTACATGTCACTCTGACAACATATAACCACATATGTACGCTTTCTTTCAATGTGAACATCTACTAGAGCAAATAGTAAAGAGAAAATTTCAGAAATTATTTTTTAATCAATATTAACAGAAAAATTGGACGGAATAATTCTGCGCTTTTCTTTTTTGCATGTCAAATAAGGGGGCATTAACTTTTTATTGATGTTAACAAAGAACTTATCCATTTTAGATTTATTTTGGACTTAGACAGACCACTGCCCCGGGTGGGGGTGGGGGGGTTAAAAACATAAATCATTTTGAAAGAAGGTTCCAAACAAAATTTACCCCAGCTTAACAAAGTGCGAAAATGGGGGCATTTTTTTTACGAATTCACCCAAAGTATCCGCACTATTGGAATTCCCCGGCCTCTCTCATCTCATGACAGCGGCGGCGCTCCGCCTCCCTCCTCCCCATCCTCTCAATTTCCGGCGATCTTCCTCGATCCCAAACCCAAACCCTAACCCTAACTCTCATAAAAGAAGCCTCAAAGTTTCAGCATCCAAGAAGTATGCCGTCCTTGGAGCGGGCTTCGCTGGATTATCCGTCGCCTGGCACCTCCTTAAGGTTCAAATTCCTTGAAATTTATTCAATTTTTTCTCCGAAAAACACATTGATTCCGTCATTATGATGATTATTTCTAAAAGTTCTTCTTTGAGAAAAAGCCCCTTAAGAGCGAGTTTGTATAAGTTAATTTATTTTGTGATGGTAAATGGAATTATCCCTACACTGAATTGGGTGAAGAATTATTGCATTAGGGGAAAAAATAGGAATAAAGTGGGTTAAAATGACATGCGTTGGGACTACCAAAATAAGTAGGGGGGAAAATAGGAATAAAGTGGGCTAAAAAATGACATGCCCTGGGACTTCCAAAGTAAATGAGGTGTTTGTTAAAATGACTGCGTTGAGACTGAGGCTGATTACGTAGCACGCACTTCATAATTTCAGCATAATCCCACCATGAAGTATCCACTCTGCATTGAGTTTTATATAATTGCACCTGGTTGCACATTTGGCATGTACTTTTGCTGCCGCATTACGTTTCCGATGTTGAGAGGCAAGCATGACATTCTTTGGCGCTCTTCAGTGTTGTAAAAATCGCCCAATAGCGGCGCTATCGCAGGGGTAATCAAGGAAGGGGTGGTCAATCGCTCCGATCACCTTGATTGCAGTGTGTGATTGGTGAAATAGCCGCTTTTTACTCGAAATAGCGCTTAATTGCGCGAAATAGCTGTTTAGCGCTTAAAAGCGCTTTTAAATGCTAAACAACGCTATTCTTTTCAAAATTTCAGTACCTGAACCCGACCAGAACCCATAAAATAAAAATCTCTCATCTCTCTCTCTCCCTCCCCCCTCTTTGACTCCAGTCCCGACCCAAAACCTAGTCTCCGCCTCTCTCTCGCTTCTCTGTCTCACCTCCTCCGGCAACTAGCTCCGACGAGCTCATCTCCGGCAGCAAGCCTCAAAACCCTAGCCGACACCTCTTCCTCACCTCCTTCGGCAACTACCTCCGTCGAGCTTCATCTCCCGCAGCAACACCACCTCCGGTCGAGCCCCATCTCACGGCCTCACCTTCTCACGGCTCACCTTCTCCAGCACTGCAGCACTGCAGCATCAAATCTACGGCTAGGCCTCCATTTGAGACTTCTAGCTTTTATTTTGCTTTGATTTAGACTTTTGAGTTTGGAGTTTGGAAATGTCATGTGTTTGGAGTTTGATCTTTAGTGCTTGCTTAGTATCTATAGACTGTTATTATCTATCATAATTCATGACATTATCTTGCTTTGCTCATTTATCTATGCTTGAAGATTTTATTTTTATGTCAAGTTTCTAATAGTTAATATAATGATGGTGTCACTAATCAATGTTTTTTTATTGTTGAGAATTTTTGTATTAGAGACTTAAAAGTTGAAGGAATTGGACAAATAACGGTCTTTTTGATAAACATGTACGCTTTTTTGTTCTTTCTAGTATCTATTATTTTTTTAATATTATGCAATTGTTACACTTACACATCAATTTCTTAGGATCTTTATAAATAATTAAATATGCATTTGTAGAATTTTTAGTTTTTTCTTGTAATTTTTCTTAGTTTCTAGAATATTTAAATATATGTAAATTTGATTGCTATTTGACTTTATGTTATTTGTCGCTATTCTGCCGCAATAGCCCCAAATAACCTTAATGGTATCTCGCCGCGACGCGACGCTATCCACTATCGATAACATTGATGCTCTTCGGTCGAGCTTTCTCTACTACAAAAAATATTAGAGAAATCTAGAGGGAGGTAGGAGATCAAGCCGCATATTTCAGTTGGAAAAGAAGGAGGCGACCAGAGAATGAGCTGGTATACAATGGGTGGTGTCAAGTGACCACCGTAGATCATACAATTTAAGGAACCCATGTGGGCTTGTTTGACACCACCCTAAATCATACAATTTAAGCTTATCAAACAAAGTGACACCATAACTGATTTTAATAGTGAGTAATGATAACTCTCAATGGACTAAATCTGAACGTAAGGTGACTCAAACACCCATTGACTTACATGCCCCAATTCACCTACGCATTAAAGAACTACCATCAATTTTGCAAAAAAGGTTGCATAAATTTACATTGAAAAGGACATATTTAATGGTGTTTCGAATGAGGCCATCATACTTTGATTTCAAAACATGAACACATATAAGGGTCAGTTATAATTAATTGTTGTATCTAGTTAAATATCTTTTTATCTCATCAAAGTTCCTGATCATGTTGAATGTGAAAAAATTCATATTATTATCTTTTTATATATACTAGCATTGCACGTGGCATTCTTGGTTTAGGAAATTATTAGTAAATAATATATTCTACATTATTGATTCTTAAATATGTATTTACGATATAATATTTCCTTATGATATATTGATTCTCAATATACCATGCAAGAAAGTTACAAAGGACACTAAATAAAAAATTAATATTAAATGTCTAGTATCTTGTTGGAATAATAAAAGCTGTTATTAGATGCAAAATTATAAAAGCTATAATAGCAAGATGGAATCACAACCGATATAATGATATTGTTTAAATAGCTCAGTTCATGGGAATTATATAGGTCAATTTTTCAATCCCAATTAAAAAATCTCAATCAAGAGAAAAAAATTATCTGGATTTCATATTAAAAAATCAAAATTTTTATGCAATTAATCAAATATATAATATATAGGTTTGTGTATTCTGATATACTCAATGAATAGAAGATAGAATAGCCGATATATTTTATTAGTCAATCTTTGTAGCCTAAAGTTGATGGGAACAAAGAACTTATTGGTAATTAATAAAAAAGAAGACAAACAAAGATTTATGATTTGACATTATTATTTACAAAAGAATATATAAGATGCTCAATAGAGGTAAGGAAATCAAAAGGACAGGAGACATTGAACGTGTTGGATAAGTCGATAGCACTTCAAAACTTATGGCCTATATTCAAAAGAAAAAGCGCAACTGAGAAATAACACAAAAAGCTCTTTACTAACTTTGTGCGAGGGGGGAAAAATCTTTAAATAACTTTGCATAAACTCTAAAAATAAGATCATACATTCTTTCTAAGTTTTAAAAGATCAATAAGAATCTTACCTAGTCCACAATAGAAAAAAATACACACTGAAAACAATCTTTGATTTCCAAATCAGATTTATACATACTCTTAAATATCAAAACTTTTAAATAATAACATTCCTTGAATCTATTATCCTTCTCTTTTTCAAGGATTCAAGTGACAACACAAATCAAGAGCTATGAATTGAAGATGAGACATAGTCTTCAACTCTATAAAAAATAAATCGTCCATTATAAACAAACCATTTGACAAATATTATCCAATGTATGCACGTGCACATACATATACAAGCCACGTAATTAGTTTAATGTAATTAATTAATAGTTTTAGCACTCCTTTTAATTAATTATTAATTAATTAATTAACAATTAATAGTTAAGTAATTAATTATATGATGATTTGCAATTAATTTAATTTAATTTAAGACTCATGTATATGAGACTTTGAGATAAATTAAATAAAGAAAAAAAATAAAGTAATGTTGGAATTATCAAATTTAAGAGGGTTAAAAAGGGCAATCAATAGTTTTAGCACTCCTATCCTCTTGTATATGTAGTATAGATATAGATATTGTGACACCACTATTAGGAATTTCTGGCTTCGCTCTTGGGGGCGACACATATCCACCGACTTTTAAGATTTGCTAATATAAGAATTTCATCGTTATTCTTCCTTATGGCTTGTCTTGAAGCCACAATATCTTTGAACAAGTGTTTGGTATCTTTAGCATACTGATGGAACCTTATCGTGCAGCATTGTCCTAAGGAATCTCACATGCACATAGACATCTATGATGAAGTTGGGATAGGTGGTGGTGCCTCGGGTGCTTCTGGAGGATTACTCCATCCGTACTCGCCTAAAGGTCTGGATACATATCCTTGATTTAGTCTCACTTTATGTAATTTTTGTTTCAAGTTTATTCTGCCATAATATGATTCCTAACTTTTAGAAACATGTACATTCTTAATAGCTCCAAAAAATATATGTTGGCTAAGTAGTTAAATGACTTTGTTTTCTTATACATTTTAGTGTTTATAATTATAGCTAAGGTTTTATGGAGAGGCGCC